ATTTCAAGGAGTCTCTAAGGCAGCAGTTCTCAACCTATGGGTCACAACTTCTTTGGGGATTGAACAACTCTTTAACAGGGATTGCCTAAGACCATCTGCATATCAGATATTTATGTTATAATTCATAACAGTATCTGAGTTACAATTAATGTAACAACAAAATAATTTTATGGCTAAGGATTATGAAAACATGGGGAACTGTATTAAAGGAAGATTGAGAACCACTGCTCTAAAGAAATGGTTAGCCTATAAATTTGGAATCACAGAAGATGGCCTTTTGAAGCACAGAATGCATTACTACATAAGCCTTGCTTATCACATATACATCCAGAAGTTGGCTAAAAGTTGAGTTTTTAAAGAACTATGTGGAAGACTGTTGGAAGACTAAAAGAGGGATGAAAAACTCAGGAAGTATATATAATTTTAATTGTAGTAAACTAAGGAAAGTAGTGAGTTTAGGTGATGAAATAAAACTATTTCATTGTTAACCTTCAATATGTACCTTTTCTAAACTTTCAGAAGAAATTTTGGATTTTTTTTGCTGTAATAATAACTGATTGTTTTTAACTGATTGTTAATAATTAGCCACTGTTATTTCTGGAGTATGGGCCAGGAATTGTGCTCAGAAATTACATCCACATTAGATCATGTAATTTGACAACAACACTATGAGGTATGTGATACTTTTATGCTTTCCAAGAAGAGGTGAGTATAGTCAAGGTGTCACAGTTGACAAAGAGCTGGCCTGTATTAAGGGTCAGAGTTGGAACTAGGCCTTCTAATCCCAAACCCAGGGCCAAATTTAAACTTATAGCGCCATGTCAACTTTGTCATTGAAAGACAGTGGAAAATTGTTTCTGTGAATGGACTTGGGCCAATGTTTCCCAACAACTTCCACCACAGTCATCATGGAACTTGTGGTGGAAGCTACTGTTTGAAAACTTCAATGCAAGATCTAGCTGTAAAATTCTTAACTTTAACATTTTTCAAAATAGTGTCCTTATTTTATTAAACTAGACTTCTAGACATTTCTTTAAAATGTTTTAAAGTGCTGGACACACTAATGTTACTAAATGTCAATGATAAATGTTTGGTAGTTGGGGCTATGCTTCTCAATTATACTTATTAAGCCTTGAAATGACTTGGCTATATTGTTTGATAATTACTAAGTAAATTATTTACTATGTATCATTTGTGATGTATAATATCCAAAGAGAGAAGGAACTTATTATATAGAGAATAGGACACAATTAACAACATAAAAGAGGCTAATATGAAGAATCTTCTCTATATTGAAAACAAGGTAAAGATCTTTACATTATTTTAAGAGATTTTTCAAACCTAAAAATCCTACCCTGTATGATTAAGTGACTGAGTTTTAATCCTTTTATTCATCTATTTATATTTATTTTTGCATAAGAGAAATCTCAGAGAGTCTGGGAAATTGAGCCACGTGTACTCAGTAGTCCATCTGGGACATCAACCAACTCTACCTAACTTTAGAGTCCACGTGTTGTGCCTTTACTTCCAGGTAAACATAATGTGACTATTAACATGATTTGAAAAGTATTAGACTAGTTTTTCTTGGGCTATTTGTGGTCTGTTCTTTCATCTTTAAAGCAGATTAAACAGATTACATAGATTAAAGCAACAGAGAACCTGGCACATCATGGGCATTGATGTTTTTAAGTAATTATCTGAGACAATAACTTTAAAAAAGAACTCCATATAATTTGACACCAATGACCCCAATTTCAACCCATTCACAAGATAGTCAACAGTATATCTATGCAACTAACAAAACCTGAAAGCACACAATGGTATCTTTTACAACTGGATAGAGGACAGCTATTTAGCTAAATATAAAGTTGGGGGTTCATGGTTCAAAATGTCATTAACTACCTAGTTGGCCAAAGTTCCATTTCTATGAGAAAAGTACAAGGTAAGCTGAGAAGATGAAGAAGCTAGTGGGTAGAAACTCTAGAAAGAAGCTAGTGAGACTTAGAAGCTCATTCAAATTTCATTTTATAATTCAGTGAGTTTTTTTTTTTTAATTTTGTTCTGTACTGTGATGGCAAGCTTAGCTAAAAAGATACCCAAAGCTTTCTGTTTAAGGTTATGTCTGAATATAATTCTTAAAAATGTCCAAAGTGTTTATGACTTATAGAAAACACTTAAAGATACTAAACACTTTTGATAGCAAAGCCTCCAGCAGTATTTTTCAGAATACAATGCTTCTGCCCACCTTACCTTTCTGGAATGCAGCTTCTCCTCCTTATTGTCCATCACTACAAAGCCCTCAGGTAGACTGAGGATTAACTCATCTCATGAGTATGCCCTTTGGATCACTCTGTAATTAGTATGTGTCCAGGACAGCCTATAGCACATGAAAATGGATCTAATTTCCTGGATTCTTAATAAAATATGACACACTTAGCTGTATACCTGATCTTTTACCAACATTAAGAAAAAAAAAACATGAATCGTCACACAGGGTTTTGGGAAGAACATTTTATTGCTAAGCATATCCTTGAACAAAAAAGCAAATGGGAAATAAAAGAGAAAAGGAAAAAAGCAGGAACATCACAACATTATGAAAAAAATCTCTTTCAGGGTCTGCAAAGAACACAACAGGAATCCGATGAAAGCTTGCGTACAGAATGCACAAGTTCCCGTAAAACTGTTCAAATATTAACTTACACTAAAAGGAATATAACAAATGAGGTTTTACTCTGATTTAAAAAAATGGAAAGAAAGAAAGGAGAGGTCAGTTCACAAGATCTCACGACTCCAAGAACAGCAATCTGTCACAGACATCGAGATATAATCAACTTCATATAGGCTGGGCCATGTATCTAAAATCGTGCTTTGATATTCTTTTACAGTCCTGTCTTTTTAATGACAACAACAAAAAAGGAAAACTCGTAACACATTGAAATCTCAGATAAGGAGGAATACCGCTTTCCATACACATCAGTAAAGGCTATCCTTGTTTTAGACTGTGCCTTCTGCTCCATGTCTTTAAGATATTTTTTTTCAAAGTCAAATATTCATGCAACTTACAAAGACCAGCAAGAGTAGATTTCTAAATCTAAACAGCTGATTGGTTTTCATCTGTACAAAAGAAATTGTATATGCCTGCCCCTCCAGATGACATACTCCACGGCTGTGTGAGTATGTGTCTTATTTTATCTTCTTGCTTTTTATGAATGGCTATGGCCACGAAACCAGTTTTTTTTTTTATTACTCTGTACATTGTTTCCTCTTTACAAAAAGAAGACAGAAAGAGAATGGATTAGAAACCAAATAGACAGACAGAAAGGAAATAACAGTTCTTAAAGCGGTATGTACATACACGACTAAGGGATTATACCAGCAAAAATGTAGCAAAATATGTAAACAAAATCTGAGAAGTTTCTGTTGTTTGTTGTTTAAATTCTCTTTGACACAGTTAACTGTGACAAAATGAAAACTCACACTTTCTTCACATTTTAAGGTTAACTTTTTTGTTGTTTTGTTATTTTTCTTTTAAAATAACATTCTCATTCCACTTCAAGACTTTAACAGATTTCTGTGTCAGTCATCCCATCAAACATACCATGATAAATATATCTGTATATATATATATTTATTTATATATATTATACTATTAAATTCCTTTTTTGTGTGTGTGTCACAGCAGCTTTATTCATTTATTTATTTGTCTTTAAAAAAAGATGGGCGAAGGGAGACATGAGGACATGGAAAGGATTTACTCACATCAGACTACAAAGTTAAACCATGTGGAAACCGTCATCATGTTGGGAGGGTGGGGAAATAACTATGATTTTTCACACTCAGCCATGACATGGCTTGTGTGATCATTTGTGGTTGCGTTACAAGTTGGGCACTCCCCTTCAGTCTGTTGAAACAGACCCTAGAATTGTCTTTTCATTTTTGTTTTTTCTCTGTTTGCATGCATTTCACAGATCCAGTCCACCCCCTTTCCCTTCTTCCCTTCCCTTGGAAAGACTCTGCTTTAATTTGTAGGGCTTATGTTTCCCCGTTCACACATTTTGGGATGATGGACAGGGACAGTATTTGTTAAGTGAAACCAATAGCTCCGATAACACCAGCCCCAAACCCATTTGTTGTAGGTTTGAATGGCAAATATTGGAATTAGATCTTCGGGACCTGCTTTTCAAATGGATTATCATCCACCACACGGGTTCACCAAAGCATTAGGAAACTAACAATTGGTTCTAGAGACAGCACAACCTGCTATATGGAGTGAATGCCATGATAGAGTTTCAGTTCATATGGCAAGAGTCTCATACTTTTTTTCTGAGTAATTTTTTTCCTTTTCTTCTTATGTGCAGTCATTGTCAAAAAAAGATAAATGAAAACTCAAAAGCTATTTTCCCCTCAGATCTTGGAAAGTTACACGAACACTGGCCAGAACCAGATAAGGATATTTCTTATTTTTTGTATTGTTTTGTTTGTGGGTTTGGTTTCTTTTTTCATTTTTTTAAGCATTTTTTTCTTATTTTTTTTGTTTTTGCTTTTTTACATAATTAGACAAACAAACAAACAAAAAATAACCCAACATTGTTACAGTCAAGATTCACAAACATCATTACAGACTCACTTGGAGCTATGGAACAAGTAAGTCATATAGTCTTCTACCCCTTTCTAAAGGTCCTGGAGAGAAGGAAGCTTCCAAGGTCGTGTGGAGTCATGGACTTGCTCCAGAGCACTAAGTGTGTGCTTTATGATACAGCAGGGCAGAGACAATTTTCTGTCTTCGGGCCAAGGCTACAACCTTGCAGCATGGCTCACCATTACAGAGAGAGATACACCATCGTATGTGTCCTTTTAAAAATGTTTTTTTCCCACCATAGTCGTGGTATACCCCATCTCACAGAACACATCCATCAAGTTAAATCTCATTGTCAAAGTATTCAGGTGTGTGTATATAAATGATTCTGTTTTAAATTCGCATACGACTGGTGATGTTATGTTTACACATAATACTCCTTGTCCTTGTTTTTCTGTTTCTTATGGCCGCTCTTGGAGCTGGCTTGCTTCTCCTTCATGAGCGTGCCGTTGCTCTGGGCCGAGTTGCTGATGTAGTTCCTCGTCTCATCCACTTGATAGGACCCCTCGTCCCTGTTCCTGTACTTGTACATGGCATACAGGAGGATCAAGATGCAGAGGGCGGCAGCAGCCACAATGCCGACGACCATCCCTGTTGTACTGCTGGACTCCCGGATCACCTCTGAGGCCCCCGGAACCCGTCTGATTCCTGGCTCCGTGGGGTTTGCTGTGGGCACATTACGGAACATGGGGGAAGTAATTAGTGGGCTCTTCAGTTTGGTGCTGTCTAGCTCATAGGCAGTGGGCAACGGAAGCAAGACTATATCAGGCTGGGGTTTGAGATCACGGTTATTCATTTTGCCAGCTGGCAATTTGGGCACCATCCCAGACGAGGAGGACGCTGTGAAGCGGATCAGCTCAGGGGACAAAGAGGTGGTTGTAGTTCTACTAGTTTCCGAGACTTTGTTAGGTCTAAAGTCATTGGATTCCCACTTGGGCGCATGTGCTTTGTAGCCACCTTCGAAGATTGAAGTGGAAAGACTCTTATCTGTTACCAAGGAGAAGGTGGTGTAAAAATCTTCATCATCAGTAGGGGGCAGGTTAGAGTCAAAGGTTTCCCCTGAGCCATACCCAGATATCACCAAGCCATCATCATCACAACCATCGCTGCCTTGGTCCGACAAGCAAGGTAACCCCGCCTCAGAGGTCATGGACAGGGAATCTTTGGTGGTCTCAATAATGGTGAGGAGGGGGCGGAAGGTAGGGGGGAGTGTAATGGAAGGTACACGAGTAGCAATAGGAGGGGTAGCTAAAGGGTCTTCTACAAGAAGAGGAATAACTAATTCACCTCCTGGGATTGAAAAGAAAAAAAGACATAATTAGTACAGGCATAAACACAGTTTATCTTTACTCTAATGAATGCAGGGCAGAGGTTACGCTTCTGAGACTACGGTAGAATGAGCTGCATCTGCATATATGGGTAATTTCTGGCTATTGCCTTATTATTCTGGGCTGAGATAGAGCTCATTATCTGCATCTGCCTACCCAAAATTTGGAACCTTGAAATCAGAGCCTTAGATTTTAAAGATACTCTCAAGTGATTTCGAGTGGCAGAATCCGAACAGGCTGGTTTCAGGATCTTCTGGCAAGATGATGACTGTCAGTCAATAATATTCTTAGAAATACTAAGAAGACTTCATGGGTGTGTTACATACACCATGAGCTTCGTTTACGGTTGTATCAACATGCATATAACATTTCTTTATTGCTTTCTTGGTTTCTATATACTGGCTCACAGGAGCACGGAGATGGTCTATTTTCCATTTTACGGAGACCAAGATCACGACTAAAGAACTCAAAAAGTTTCCTGTACTGCCTTGGGGGCTATCCTAATTTCCCATTAGCTAAGAGACAGAAACAAACAGCAGGCTTATGTTCATCCTGATGCATTTTGATTATGTATCTCTTGAAACTCCCTTGACTCTTAAAGTGACAACTTGTCTTGCATTAGCATAAGATGTGTCTTGTGTATTCAAGGCTTTTATGTTATATGAAATATATGCTGAGCTAGAAGCTCCATTTTAAACATACCCAGCCTAGATATCCATGACCGGCTGGAAACTCATGTTTAGGTTGAAAAAAGTTGACTTAGCAAAGTCAATTTTGAAACCAGTGATTCTTTACTAGAGTGGCAAAAGCTATATGCTAGTTTACCCAGAAAGCTTCATTATTCTATGATTACTAAACACATGGATAGCAGGGAAAAAGTAGTTTAAGAATACTTCACAAAACCATGTTGTCTTGCACATCACAGATGCAAGAAAGACTCTGCCAGGGAAGTTGCTCATTTAACTATAACCTGGCATTTTCCTCCCATGTCAGCAAGACAGTTTCTTTGGCATCTCTTTTTAGTTGAAGCAGAGCAATTTCAAGAAGTCACCACTTGTGTCCTGCCACCACATTTATTCTAGAAAGATATAGTCTATTCATAACCTAAAATTGTTTTAAATTATAGATTCTTTTCAAATTCTGTAGCGAGATGAGCTCAGAGAGTTTTCAGGTGGAATAACTTTTAGTAACTATGGCTTCCTGCAATGGAGAAGCTGAGATAGGATATCTAACAGCAAGAAACCCACCAAACAAAAGAGATGCTCTATTTTCATTGACTTTTGAGGAAAGCAGTCTCTGAGATGAGGAGTCCCCGGGCTTAATGGAGAGGGATCTCTGGACTTAGAAGATTAGGGAAGGTACTAGTAGGTTATATGGTGTGGCTGTTTCTCTCTACAGGAGCAGTATTGTGATGTAACCACACTCACTTCCAGGAATAGCATAATTTCACTCTCCAGTTAGAAAGTTTAGATGATGATATGATATTATCAGAAGGCTCTTTCTGAGCCGGACTTAAGGTTCTTTTATATGATGCTGTTGATAGCTATTTTCCTGAGATGGGGTGACTAGTATATGTGCCCATGCTAATAAATACACCCATTGTTCATGTACCTTCCTCCTCTATCAGCAACAAAGCCAGACTGGGCTTTGAAGCAGGTTCAATACTTCAGACTTCCAGGGACATTGCAGAGAATCAAGTCTTTAAGTTTACACAGTCTTCCATGATTCTTCCTATAAAGATTCATTCTTAGAACAGTTCCACTTGGCATCCCACAGCTTTTATCTTTAAACACCACCTGTGGTTCAGGAATATTTCATCTTTGCTGTCCACGTTCCAGGTATGTTAAGAGGAGGGCCTGGTAGCAAACATAGCAAGAACCTTTGGCTGCTTCCCTATCTAGCCAATAATTTTGGTGCCCAGCAAGAGATAGTTGGTCAGGGAAAAGTATGTATAATTTATGTGAATCATTCAGAAGGGCAGGGGCAATAGAGAGTTGTGTGATTATTTCCCACCTAACAGATAATTTTGTTTTATGAGAGGAAGTAAAACAAGTATCTTCCTGAGAATCTGTGGTCTGGAGTCTCAGCTTGAGTTTTTGTTCTATCTCTCAGAGTATGAACTGGTTGAGCAAAATGATCTTTGCAGGGTTTGCAAAGCTTTGCAGGGCCAGTATTGCCTTTTTATTTTTATTTTTTTAACATTGTGAACATATATAATTCATATACCTTGCGACTTAGTTAATACATAATTTACACACTTTTGCTAGTTTTTATAAATGGGATTTGGAGCGCAATTCCCTAAAGGTAAGCTAGCCCTAAAAACTAACCTTGCACAAACTATTTTTTCTTATACTTGTAAGGGTAGGGAGAGGTGTGTATGTACTATATTCAAGGTGATCTGGGGAGAGGGCAGTGTTTGGATGCCAGCTCCCAGCTATGAGGAAGAAGTGAGTATGACTTTACTTTTCAGGAGGGAACAAGACTGGGTGTTATTTTCAATAAAATAGTGTTGTCTTCTCCCTCTGCCTCTGTGGTGTGTGTGTGTGTGTGTGTGTGTGTGTGTGTGTGTGTGTGAGAGAGAGAGAGAGAGAGAGAGAGAGAGAGAGAGAGAGAGGGAGAGAGAGAGAGAGAGATGCACACATGTGTTATAGGCTGAATGTTGTAGTCAGAGGGCAATGTTCAGAACTGGTGCTGTATTTCTGCTTTTTTTTGTGGCAGAGTTTCTTATTTTTGGCTGCTGTATGTGCTCTAGGCCAGCAGGTCTTCAAGCCTTCAGGTGATTCTTCTGTCCAATCTTCACTTGTAGGTGTGCAGAAAGTAAAATATAAGACACCAACTCTGAAGTTTTGTGCAGTCTGGGGGCATAGAACTCAGGTTGTCAGGCTTGGGAACCAAATGCTTTGACCTGCAGCTGTCTTGCAAACCTTGGAATCCCTTTAATCCTGGTTAACAGGGAAAAAATGTTCAGCATATGACTTCATTGCCAGTATAAAAACTGAGCTGTATGTTCCTTATGGCTATAACAGAAACATGCCTCTTAAGCATAGGAGGAGACAATGTTGAGAAGGAAGAATATGTGGTTCCTTGTGAAGTAATTCGTTTAAATAAATCTTAACCTTTGACCTTCAAGAATGATAAAGATCAGTGTCTTCATGATTACTAGAGGGCATTTGTTTGCTATTTTACTGTACTACCCGAAACACTCACCTGGAGACTGAAATTTGACTGTCTTTGTTTTCTCTTTACAATTCTTGCTCAAGCCTCACAGTGTTGTTTAAAAAATATCTACAAAACTTGTTCAGCTTACAGTTGAATCAGGCCATTCCCCTTTGGTACTTTTTTCTCATTCAAAAGTCCAGCAAGTATTTCTGATTTCAAAACAAAGTAAAAATCCAAATAGCATAGATATGTGGCTTTAGGGCTTTCTAACTGACAGTTTTTAAAGGGCTGCTGAATTCCAAAGTGAGCTGAAAGCAGTTGATTTTAAAAACAAAACAATGAATATCATATCCTAAGTAAGATCTGAAAATCTTTCAGAACTATCTTTCCTCTTCTTCAACATTTTGTTTTATCCTGGTGTTGCAGTGATAAGACATTATAAACAGTGCCCTCTACAAGGAAAGTCTGAGGCCAAAATTTGCTGGACTCTACCCTCTGAAACTGTAGAAGCTTTTATAATTTTCTCTCTTGGCACTGCTAGGAATTAGGGCTTCTTGGAGTTTGAAATGAAGCTGCCAGGCATGGGAGGACCATTATTGCAAATGGGAATTATAGCAGAATAGGTAAAAACTTTCAGATAGCTGTAGACATGAGAACTGCCTGGAATAGGTACATGAGTTAGGGTGTATAATTATGTTTAAATATTCCATTACTTACTTACTTTCTTACTTACTTAATTTATTTGTTTTATAGATGTGTGCATGTATCTCGATATTTGTGTGTGTGTGATTGTCATATGTAGTACATATTCATGTGTGTAAAGGGGTATGAGCACCTGTACACAATTGCAGATGTCTTCTCTAACTTCTGTATTTCTCTGAAACCGGAGCTTATGTTCCTCTGTTAGGCTGGCAGCCAACATACCACAGAAATCCTCCTGTCTCTGTTCTCTGTGGTACTGGGATTACAAGTATACATATGGCACCTGATCCACAAGCTGGAGCTTGTTTAGGTGTTGGGATCTGAATTTTGATACTCATAGTCATAAAGCAAAACAGTCCCTTGTCGACCTGACCTATCACCTTAGGTCTGTAATCAGTTTGAATGTAAGCTTTTGTCTTCAAGAATTGAGATGACTATAGTATGTATTCAACCTTCCATATTATTGATTTATTGTATCAAGGATTCAAAGGACTACAGATAAAAATGCCCCTCCACCACAGGGTCTGCCCTGAACATGTACAGATCATTTTTCCTATCATTACCCCTAAAATACATGTAGTCTAACAACTTTGCACAGCATGGTACATTGCATTTGCTATGTTAACTAATACAGAGAATACTTAAAGACCAAGGAAGCTATATGCACAGGTTCTATGCCAATTTGGTTTATTTTGGACATCAGATCTAGATATGTTTGTTGTCCAAACCGCTCTCAACTTCTGGGCTCAAGCAAGAGCCTTTGTTTCCTAAGTAGAAGTATCCAGGATAATAGTCATA